AAAAATTCTACTCAAAAAACTAATCAGGTATGCGCACTGTCCTAGAGCATCTATGTATCAAGTTTCATCAAACCCAATGAGTGGTTCTTTAGATATCAGTGGAACAGTGATGGAACAGCTAAAAATTAGCTAATTTTCATGCAAATTAGGTAATTAATATGCACGAGTTTTCAACCAAAACTAATCAAACTACGCATTAGCCAAGATCATCTATGCATCAAGTTAACTGCAAACTGCAAAAATACAGCCTATGGTAACCCAACATATACATCCTACGCTGACCCAGTGGATATTACCATGGTAGCTCAAAAGATACAGCCCATGATGACTAATGAATACAGACAATGGTAACCCAGCATATAAAGCCCATGGTAACCCAATGGATACAGCTCATGGTAACCCAACATATACAGCCCATAGTAACCCAATGGATACAGCCCATGGTAACCCAACATATACAGCCCATGGTAACTCAACATATACAGCCCATGGTAACCCAAGGTATACAGCCCATGGTAACCCAACATATACAGCCCATGGTAACCCAACATATACAGTCCATGGTAACCCAATGGATACAGCCCATGGTAACCCAACATATACAGCCCATGGTAACCCAACATATACAGTCCATGGTAACCCAATGGATACAGCCCATGGTAACCCAACATATACAGCCAATGGTAACCCGATGGATACAGCCCATGTTAACCCAACATATACAGCCCATGGTAACCCAACATATACAGTCCATGGTAACCCAATGGATACAGCCCATGGTAACCCAACATATACAGCCCATGGTAACCCAACATATACAGTCCATGGTAACCCAATGGATACAGCCCATGGTAACCCAACATATACAGCCAATGGTAACCCAATGGATACAGCCCATGTTAACCCAACATATACAGCCCATGGTAACTCAATGGATACAGCCCATGGTAACCCAACATATACAGCCCATGGTAACTCAACATATACAGCCCATGGTAACTCAACATATACAG